ATCTTTGTCCCTTGTCTTGTTTATATGTGTGTGGTTTTGGGACACTTCTTTCTTGTGAGGGCATGTAAGTTGAAAAGGTGGTGATCTTGCAAATTCCTAATTGAGTCAAGTGAGCATGTGAAAGAGTTAATGAGTTGAGTCATTTCTTGAGTTTGAGTTGTTGTCACTTAAATGATTCTTGGTTTTTGAAAATGTTTCATGAGAATGAGAGGATTTCTTTTGTGAAAAGTTTGCATGTGGACTATTTATCAGTACCAACCGAAGCCATTACCTTTTTGCTTAATTGAAAAAGGGAAACTGATTTGTGGTGTGTTTTGAAGCAAGAGCCTCTTGTGTTTGACCGCGACTCTTAGTTGGCTATTTTTTGGACCCACAAGAACATACAATTTAACATAAGTTAAACGAAACAGAAAAGTTCTCAAATAGCATAAAAAAATTAGAGTTACGGGTTCAAAAACCATAGTAATTTGTGGTTTTCGAGTTCATCGGAGTTCATTGGAGTCCTAATCCTGGGGGTGGTTCAACTTCGTAGTCAAAGCTCGTTGTTCCCAGTCGCTGTTCCAGAAAAGGTAAATTTTATCATCTTATTTAAATCCTTGTATAACCTCGTTGGGTTGATTAATTCGATGTACTCTTAGCTAGTTAGTCTGGTTTCTTTCTTGTTTAACAATTCTTTTTTTTTAAAAGCTTGATTCGGTTTTTAGCATGTTAATCTCCGTTTTGATTAGTTTTATCTCTATGTTGGTGTTTAAATAGGTGATATTAGTGTGATGTTGTGAATTGCTCGTATATGAGTTGTTGTGGGTTAAGTTCGGTCGTTGTGTTTGGGTTAAGTTCGGCCATTGTGTTAAATGGTCAAATCATAAATTTTCCTTTAATGCTTGTTGTTCTATTTATTGTCTAAGATGTGATTCATTGTTTAAGTTGTTTTGTAGTACAAATTTCAAGTTAATTTTTAGTTTATACTTACTGTTCTTTGCTTTTTTTTTTGGTTCAAGTGTTTTCAATATAGTTTCAATAGGTTCTAGTTTGGTTCTTTGCCTCTTGAATATAGAATACAATTTATGTGTTTGATTGCCCACTGATTTCGCCTCAATTTTTACTTAGTTATCTAGCTTAGTTCAAAGCCATATATTTTGGATTTGTATCTCATGAATCAGATGTATGTTTGAAGGTCAGAGAGGTTTAGAGTAAGCGTTCAATCATAGAACCACCAATACGAATTGTGTTGCCTCCTTTTTTCCTTTTTAATGACAGTACTATTGTTAGTGCTTGCATGTCCTTTGTTTATTCATTTTTCCTCTTTTAGTCAAAGCTATGTCACTTGAGAGCTGCTAATGACTCCAAAAGTTAATTGCTTACAAGGAAGAGCCATCATAAATGGGGGGAGGGGGGGGGGGGTTAGAGCTAAAATTCTTATGATCAATCTATTTATCCCCACTCTATTCAGCTCCTTTTCTCTGCTAGTTTTGGGAATCCTACCTTTTTCCATTAGAAATTATAAAACTGTTGAAGAATCTGCCATATTTTTGCAACTCAGAAATATTTTTTGGGTGTATTCACAGATAAATCATTCTGAATGGGCTTGAGAGAGTCATTCGCCTTACAATTTTGCCAAAGCGAAACTATGTGAGTCTTCCTTGCTTATTTGTTCTCCATATATGACGAAGTTTTGACACTTCTGTCCTTTATACTGGTTTCTCTACATTATGTTTTACTCTATTCTTTTCATGTGATTCATTGATTTCATTTAAAATTTTATTCCAGCCAACGAGTATGGCATGGAATTCATTTCGTGATAGGCGAGAAGGATATTTTGATAAAGCTGTTGTTATAAGGTTCTTTTTCCACACTCTTACTTGATGATTTGTTCTTGTAGCAAGTTGCGTTTGGTTTTGCTTTTGTGCTTGTTTATGAAGAGATGCTATCTTGCTTGTAATAGTTCCTGAAGACTGTCTTACATGAATTTGAAAGGCAGTTTCACTGATTGTGTGAATGATGCACTTTTGTTTAGATTAAGTTAATAATTTGTAGTCTCTTTGGAGTTCAAATGTGAAATGTTTATTTCAAGTTCTATTGATATGTTACTTGGATGTTGTGGCTCTAGATTTTTATCACCGAATAAAATAGAACCTCCAAAACTTTATTAGTATACCCAAGGACAGTTTACTTCATTGTTCAATCAGTAGTCTCAATCCAACATCATTTATTGGATACTGACATATCTTTTGTATCTCTTCCAGTACCCTAAACTAGAAGCATCTGGAATGCTTTCATTGATGCCGACTTCTGGTTAGCGTTTTTCTCAATTCCTCTTTTCTTGTTTTGTTGTTGAGTTCAGCTGCCAAGAGTTGAAAATTATGATCTATGGAGCAGGTCGTTGCTAATTGCTTTGCTCATAAAAGGGAGGCTAGGTTTTGTGAATGGAACTTCCAAAAGGGAGTTACAGAAAACTGATATTTGAAATCTATGGGACAAATATGAAAATATTGTGCATTTGTGGATCATGAATTCAGTTTTGAAGAGTTTACTGAACGAGATAATATATGGATCAAATGCACATGCAGAGTGGGAAGATCTAAAGGAACACTTCAACAAAGTGAATCACATAAGAATCTTTCAGTTGCATAAAGACACCAGACCATCTCAAGGTACAAATTCTTTCTCTATCTATTATTCAAGGTTGAAGGAGCTGTGAGATAAATATGATATGATTGTGCGTGCACCGAGTTGTAGTTGTGATAAGTCGAAAGACTATATTGACCATCTCTGGAACATAGATTATTGCAGTTTCTGGCTGGTTTAAACGATTCATATGATCACATTAGGTGACAAATTTTGCTCAAAACAAATTCCAACTGTGAATCAAGTGTATGCAATGGTTACTCTTCTAAAGGTGTTTTAGTGTTGTCAAATTTTCTTCCCTTTAGTATGGAGTCTACTTATCTAAATTGATTAGTGATATATTTGAGGAAGCCTCTGTTTGCTTATCTAAATCGATTAGTGCTTATCTAAAAGAAATTATGGCGGAGGGAACTAGAGCTTCATGCTTGTCTCTTTTATTTATAAGGGTCATTTATGCTTTAATTCAGCTAAAGAATTTAAAAACAATGTAGAGGAGGTAGTAGCTATTAACAAGACATTACGTGGTAGTAACTTATATAAATAGTTGATTCTTCACTACAACTTTTCTTTAAAAAATCCATATAAATTTAAATGATGGTATTCTTAGAATTTTACATTTAAGAGTAGATATTGATAAACAAGCTCTAAAGTCATATTCGCGAGAGAGCCAGAAATATATAAAGAGGCTAGTGGCGAAATGGATTGATAAAACTCACAAAGTCGATGTGCAAACTATATAGACAAAATAAGTGTAGCCAACATGATGTAGGATTGTTGTATCTATACCATTTCATATGATCTATAATGGAAAATAATGGGCCTAGTGCTTGATTTGGTTATCTTGAAAAACTGGGATTGGTGAAGTTGGTCTTTTATCGATGTAACTTTGTTGTCAATTAGGTTATTAGAATCTTGATTGTCATCTTATTTGTACAAGAACTAGATACCACTAATTTAGATGAGGTTGCTTTTGTGATTAAACCATGGACAAAGTTAGTTTGGCTGGAAAGTCCAACCAACCCCCTCATCAACAAATTTGTGATATTTGTATGGGTGATTGACAATGGCATATTAGATTATGCACATATAATTTTCAGCTTACACTTTTGCTGATAGATAGTAATAGATTGATCTTGAAAAGAGAATGATCTTTTCGTCTCATATTGTTGTGTCCTCTGATTTATTACAGAAAATTTCCAAGGTGGTGAGCACATGGGCTTTTGTGGTGGTAGATAACAAGATTATGTCCCAGTATTGCCCCATCCTTTGGAGCTCGGAGCAAGTATTTTTGCAAATACTTTTTGTTCCGCTAACTAGAATACTCTCATATAATATGCATCGAATGTTAGCTTACTTGTCCATGGTTTTGTAGATATTGTGATGCATTCAGCTACTAAGTTCATATCCGGTCATAGTGATTTCATGGCTTGTGTACTTGTCGTCAGAGGAGAAAGGTTTTTTCTTCTATTTCGTATACGGTTCATAATTTGATTTATTGTTATCTTACAGGTTTTTCCTCTATTTCGCATACGGTTCATAATTTGATTTATTGTTATCTTATGGTTGTATATTCTTAGATTTCTTGGGTCATTTTTGGTGGCTTAAATCCACTATCACATTAGGAGCTTGAATGTAGTGAACATGAGTTTGTAAGTAGACCCATTATTGATTTCTTTAGCAATGAATCACTCACCTAACTCATAGTGAAACTCTGGAACTGTTCAACAATGAGTAGCGAATGTTGATATCAAAGCTTCCTTTTCCTCTTCCAATTTCTATAAAAAATAAGATTCATATCTTCTTTGGACTAGATTAAAGGACGTAAAAGATGATAGTCTCGCTCGCAACTCCAAAAATTCTTTACTTTGAATAAGGGTGCCTTCACTGAGGCTCGAGAATGAGCCTTCAAAAAATCTTAGTATACTTACTCAGGGTTGTATGCAAGTAAAAAATGGATCCCTTCCATATGTCTTAAGGTGTGTACAAGAAGTCCTCTCTATGCAGCACCTTATAGACCCTACAATGCATAAATTTGTGCAATACTTCGTGACACTGAAATTCTTTTTCGGAATGAACTGGCTGCCCTTATGACTAAGAAGTTAAAGAATTCTTTTTGTTGTTATTGATACTTGATAAAGTTGATTAAAGTTTAAGAAATAAGTTCATTGACAAGTCTATATCTGAAAATCTTTAGTTAGTTATATAGCCTATTGAATGTAAATGATGTCTGATGCCTTGTTTCTCTTTGAACATCTCAAGTGTCCTTCTGACAATTTGCTTATAACTTTGCTTATAACTTTTCCTACTTAACCAGCTTGGCGAAAGAGGTTGTACATCCTACAAATTGCTGAAGGTGCAGGGTTAGCGTCATTCGATTGTTGGCTTTGTTTGAGAGGAATCAAAACAATTGATCTTCGCATTGAAAAATAACAAGTTCAATTTTATTTGATTTTTTTTTTTGGTGAAATTAGTTGTCTCACCACTCGTTCTAGAAACATATATGCCTACCTGCACCTTTGTTAATATATTATTGTTGACCCTATAGATTTTCATGATTATGGCATGCATATTCCTGTATCTTCATCTTTATATTGTGCGGAGAAATTAGGGTGGTTTGTAAAATTCTGACACATCACAATGTTATAACTAAATAATTTCAATATCTTGTAGAAGAATGCACAAAAAATCGTTGAATATTATCTTAAGGTATTATTATGCAAGTCTTCCCGGGAGGTCTTTGTATTTTTCTCAGGTATCAAACAAGTCATTTTTTTAGGAATTTGAACTAAGGATCTATGGTTGTTGGTAGGGGTGTACATATGTCGGTTTAGTTTGGTTTTTTATTAAAAAAAAATCTAAACCAATTATGTCGGTTTATTAAATCTAAAAATCAAATCAAACCATACAAAGTTGTTTTTTTCGGTTTTGGTTTTTGTCGGTTCTTTCGGTTTTTTTTTGTTTTTCGATTTTTTACAACTATACGGTGTTTGAAAATGAGATCAAATATATTTTCACTTACCTATGTGATAAGCTATTACTTAAGAAATATTAAATGTATAGAAATTTTCGTAAAAACGGTAAAATTTACATGAGTACAAAATATATTTTTTTGAAATATCAACGTTCATTATGTTAAATTAATAAGATTAAAGGATACAATCAAACTGAATACAAAACGAAATATTTACAAAGTAAATTGTTAACTTTGAATTTGAGAACCTATAACAATATAATTGTAACTTCGGATCTTATTAGAAAATAAAATATTTACAAATTTTACAAGCCCAAATTTGAAATAAAATATATAAACATTGAAAACTATAAACTAGCTAAAATATATTAACAAAGTAGATTATAAATAATATTTTTTATCTATAAATAAAATAAAATTATATATATAATATTTACAAAATTTTACAAGCCCAAATTTAAAATAAAATATATAAACATTGAAAACTATAAACTAGCTAAAATATATTAACAAAGTAGATTATAAATAATAGGATACTTTTTTAAAATTTTGGGAAGTGTAAAAGCTACTTTTTAGAAAGTTGAAAAAGTGGGGCCC